GTTTATACACTGTGGCACAATTATGGCATTGTACTGGGGAATACTTATTTATAATAAGACTCAGACTTTGACTAACTTTATTGATCCACAAGGGATATTATTATATTTGGACACAGTAGCTCACATCACTATAAATATAATAATGGTATGTTTAATGGCAAACATATAAATGGTAATAGTAAGAGGCTGGTGTCCAATACGGTATCATTATACAAATGTATATGTAAAAGTAAAAATAAAATATAGAAATATAGTAATTCGAAATATACCTATAGGAGCTCTCCTAAGACACCACTGCAATGATTGTACACAGACTTGAACTTATTTGGGAACAAATGCTCAATAGATTCAATCATAATGCCCTTACACTAATGGTTAAAGATGGTAAAGATTCCACTAAAACTACTGATTTGTTCTTTTGCTGACCCCTTGTGGCTGGAGTACAATTGGTTACAACTTGGCCGTAATTGCCCCAATATAAAGACGCAATTAGGAAGCTAGTCAAAATTAACTAGATATTTCTAAATATTTAGTTAAAAGAATAATACTTGTGCAATGGAAGTGCAGATGTGAATAAAAAAATAAAAAATCAGAAACCAGAACCAGAGCCTGTGTCCTCATAGTATACATAAGCATGCTGACCCCATGGACACACAATAGCTTGGAGTAGATATTAAAAATGATTTCCCCCTTTTGTCTCTTTCATTAACAGTGTTGAAAAGCTGTCTGTTTGTCATTCAGGCTCACACAGCACAGCACAGAGCCCTGTGCTTCACTGGGGAACGTGCTTCTCATGGTTGGCCTCAGCTGGCCGTCTTGACAAATGCAACATTGCAGAGAGAAGAAGGAGAAACTTGGCTCTCAATCAAACTTCTCTCATGATTTCTGAGATTTAAAATGGTTTAGTTTGTGTGCCCCTCAAGCCCCCACCCCTCCCACCACACACTTTTCATTCTTTCTCCATCTGATTTCAGATCTTTATAGCTCCTGCACAGGTGCTGCTGTTGCCCTAACCACAACAACGGACTACAAAATGAACACAAAAGGTCAGTAACTGGTCAGTATTTGGGATTCTGTATTTAAAAGATTATCTACTATTTACAGACAGGGTCAATGGTGCCAACTTCAGCTACAGAAGGCCAGTAATTGACAATTTTTTTGTTTTCTGAATTCTTTACAATAATAATAAAAATGTATGTCTGATTCAAAATTAGTGATATTAATAGATTTGTTTTTGCTAATGTTTTTGATCTATTATTCCACATAATCCTTAGAAGAAAAAAAAAAAAACAGAAAACACTGACTCCAAAAGTTGTTATTCTTAAATCTTTCTTCTGCTCTTTCATCTTGTCATATCTTTTTGTTTCCAGGGACAATCTAGGTCAGGTTAACTTGGCCCTATTCTGAGACATTTGTCCTCGTATGAGTGATTGCATGTGAGTCTGGATACATTCTAGATTTTTGTGGCTTGTTCAAATGTAAGTCATGAAGCTTCGGCCCTTGAGCGATTCAACAGTCCTTTAATCCTCATCACCGCTGACCCTGAACCTCAGGCTCTGACCTCTCTGTACATACAGACACTGAGTCCAAAGCCCTGGGGACCACACACAGGCCGTGCCCCCTCTGCCCCTGCATTAGCTCTGTAGACAGTGGAGACCTCCATTCAAGGCACAAAGTAGAGTCATATTGACTTGTTGCTATGTATGTCAACCAACCATCACAAGGACTAGCCTATTTTCCAAGCTAATGGCAATATAATCATGATTTACAGGCAGACATGGAAAGTAATTTGACTCTGGACATTTTATTAATTACAAATTTGTGACGTATTGTTAGGCGCACATTTAAAACATGTTTATTTATATACTTTGAGAGTCAAATTTAAAAAAAAATTCTAGGTGTAAGTATTATTACTAGTGGCAAATGTTAATAAATGAAACATCCTGATAGTGTAAAGAGAGGCAGGACACTGGATGTCTAACGCAGAAGAAGTTTATTTACTGTCAGTGTGGGCCCTGCAGACACAAATGCTCAACACACTGTGGTTTTGTCCATCCAAACCTGGCTATACTTCTGATGTAGGGAGCATTATAATTCTGATGATGTAGTAGGGCTGGCTGATATGGTGATGAAAATCAAATTGTGATCTCATCCCTGTGACGATCTGCTATCTTGGTTAAATTATCATATTGTGATTCAGTGTTTCTCTATTTAATAAAGCTGTATGCTCAAACAAAGACAATTTTCTCACCTACTCTTCCTGTTGCGTAGGTTATTGGTTATGGCCAGGCTCAGAGTGAGTGACAGGTGGATTTAACCAATCACAGTGAAGCATGAACTTTCAGAAGAAGCAGATGTAATATGGAGTACAAATACAGAGGTTTGACATGAATCCGTGTATCATTTGTTTATTTGTTTTTCAAATTAAAACCAAAAATAAGAAAATCGAAAAAACAACTATTTTCTTCATTATTTGTCCCTAAACCAAAATGAAAAAAGGGATGATGATTCATTTTTTTTGTGTTTAAACAAATAACGGAAAAAATGGATAAAGGTCGTTTCCTGTTTCATTCAATATTGACCATGGATCTATAAGAAAAACTGGAGATACCGGACTTTTGCGCCACATACGGACTGAACCAGGACTATTTTTTCTATTACTTGTTTAAACACAACATTGAAAATTGAAAAAATGAATCGTTATCCGTTTTTTTCATTTTAGTTTTGGAGACAAAAAATAAAGAAAATAGTTTATTTTTTTCGTTTTCTTATTTTTGGTTTTATTTTGAAAAACGAATGAACGAACGATACATGGATTGACATGAATTGGGATAACATCAAAACTGTGATCTGACTCCATGAAAATTGTGATCTTTGTTTTTTGCCATATTTTACACATGGGCCAGTAAAGAAGGATTAAGCTGAGTCCTTGGCACAGCAGTATCATTTCCCTTTCAGTAATAAGTAATAAAGTAGAAGTAGTGACAATTCCAATAGCAAATTCAGCAAGGAAATTTCCACATTAACACTATTCATACTAAATAAATATATTCAGCTAAACCTATATCTAAATTGAAACAGACTTGCTGAACATCTGACTCACACAGGTCTACATGCAGACACACAGGTGGCTTTTTACTGTAGTACTAAACACATAGGCGAGCGCAGTACTTTTGTGTTAGAGGGGCCTGCGGGGCACACTGGAGCAGAATAAAGTTGTGTTTTTAATATATGTGCCAGGCTGCTCTTTTGTACTGTTCTGAGTAGCTGACATTAAAGGCATTTCTTAGCAGCACATGACATCCAGATATGTGCCTCCATGCTCCTTCAATCAAAGAGCTCAAAGCAAACACATATGTAGCCCTCCACTGACAGATCACTGAACTCACTCACACATTCAAACATTCCCACCAAACCACATGCTTTTTCGACTTGTCCGCGGAAAAGAATAGACTTGGACATATTTTCGGTCCTTCTGTTGTAGCTACACCACCTGCCCTCAATAAATGTAACTTTTCATAAGACAGCTATATATGACAGCTAATTCAGCTTCAAAACACACCTCAGTCCTGATGTCTTTATAGACAGAGATGCACATGTTATCAGGTGAGTGGATACAAATGCGTAATGTTGTGGTATGGCTAAAACGCTACAGGACATAATGCAGTGTAAGGCCATGCATCTGCGCAACTTGTGTGGTTTGTGTCAATGTGTTTAATATTTGCAAAAAATAGAAAGATTTCTGTGAAAGATGGAGCTGAGTGTTTGGCAGAGTGGTTAGAGTTTTCAAGGAATGAGTGCAAGCATATATAGTAGGTTTAAAGGATTTTCTGATCTGTGTCATAATGTTGTTTCCCAATCACAAACATACCTGGAGTTGTGTTTTGTTTCATTCACATGTTTAACACACAAACACTGCATATTTAGGCTGAGTTCTTCTCTCAAACAGAAAACACACTGTTCCTACTTGTGATGTCATGTGGTAATGCAAGAAATGTTTCTCTGTGTTTTTAAACTCATTCACCTTCACTAGAATCATTTCAATGATTTGAGCCCTAGAATTGCCAATCTCTTCTGAACTAATGGTAAAAGGCAGCTGTCACTACCACAGTCACAGAGTTTTTTGAGCTTTGGAGCAGTGTTGCCTGATTGGGTTTAGTGATTTTTGTCCAATCACGTTTGAAAACCCACGTTCAGCAAAAAAATGCTACAACGTTTTGTCACAGAAAACATTTAATCTTTGAATAAACGTATGTAATCGAGTATTGAGAAAACATGTTAAATGTAGGACAGCATTTTCATTTATCACAAAAAAACAGGACATTTCATATTTAAATTAAAATGTTGTAGGCTACTTAATCTGTAAGCTTTTGAAAAACATTGCCAGTATTGAGAAAAAATTGTTATGTAAAACCTTTGGTAAAACATAAAACAGCATTTTCATCACACATAAAAATTTATATCATCAATGGTCAGCTATAGCCTCGGCTACTGCAAGAACAGCTGACAAACAACACAGTCTGCCTACTCATCCATCTAAGAATTGAATCTGTGCAACAGCTGAACACCAGGAAGATCTGAACGTAACAAACGTCCATTAATTTCTTCAGGCCGGAATGCACCTCCATAAGAATGGACAGGAGTAAAAGTCCCATACAGTTCCTCGTGTTATTGCGTTATTGAGTATCGCGTTGATTGGTGTGAAAACAAAAAATGCCCAAACTTGCTAAAAGTAGCCCAAATCATATCTGCCTGCCTGAGGCTTCCCCTCCCTGCCCGACATAGTCAAAAGAAGCCCAAATGGGCAGGCACCCGCCCAATCTGACAACACTGCTTTGGAGATGTAGACAGACTAATAATAATAAACAATTTCTGAGACGTGTGAATGAAACAAAACAGAACTTCGGGTATGTTTTTGAGGAAGCAACAAGATTATAACACTGCTTAAAGCTCACAAGAGTCAGTTTTATGCAATATAGGACTTTTAAATTGTGACTAACTTCATTTCCAGGATTTCCTCCAGCTGTTTCCTTCGCTCTTGACGCAGGTTGGTAAGATGGCCATCCCTTTCGTGTAAGGACTGCTGAGTGGTGGACAGACGCATCTTGGTGGCATCAAGTTCCTCACGGGTTTTCTCCAATGCCCTCATCAGTTCCTCCAACTGTCCAAAAGAGGATGCACAATGAGTAATACATGAATTATAATTGGAAGAATAAAAGTGTATGGTGACACAGTTTAGAGATCACATACTATTTGCTAAGTAAGTGGGAGTACTAATGAAAAACAGTTAAAGGCTAAAGTTGGCAAATATAGACCTACAAAATAAACATTACTACGTTAATACTTTATACACACAAACAAAGATCTGATTAATTACTTAGCATGCCTATTACTGCATGTTGGCCAAAATGTTGCTCTGAAAACTTAAGTGTTACCAGATGTTTAATTGAAGCCAAACATATTTTTATATAATTTGATAACTGCAATGAAGATTTTTGCATAAATATTTTTAACTAACGTCTGTGTTGTAACAGCTAACGTCTGTCTTACAACAGCTTACACACGCAACAGCTCCAAAAAGCAGTTCGACTTTTACAAAACTGTCAAAAAAACTCATAGTGATGGGCCAAAGAGCAGCAAAGTTTTTGACGTGGAATCAGATGAAAGACTTTTTTTTAAAGAATTCTGGCCAAGTATGCTAGAAAGGTTTACATTTTTCTTTTGTGCCTATACATATAAGGTGTATAGACATATTATCCTTCATCTAGATAAATGGCTTAGATCTACAAAGTGGAATCAAGTGATGAAATGCATATCTTCTGAGCATAATATTCAATCATTCTTTTGCAGTTCTAACACTTCCCTGTCCATGGGTCTATTTGAAAACAGGTGAGAATCGGGCCCAATCTCTAAATTACACCTCTCCCCTCCTCCTGAGCTCAGATGCCCTGCAGCCACTCAGCCCTGTGTCCAACCTACCCCACCGTAAGATCCCACAAACAGGATGTGACCTCAGGGGGTCATTATCACAAGACAGGAAGTGGATAATTGTCTAAAAACAAAGATTTCACAAATAGAAGGTACAAGGGAGGTCCACGAAAGCAGTAGAACACTTGAAAGTAACAAAATTACAGGCCAGTTTGCAGAGTAAGTGTCAATGCGTTACCCTATGTGGTGTCGTTAAATGCATGATAAAAGCAAAAGTGCAAACATACAAAATGGCAGTGGGAAAGAGCTCCATGGGGTAAAGGATGGAAAAATCTTTGGGTCTTTTTTATGAAGCGGGCAAATTGTTCACACATTTTCAGGATGTTCTATCTCTAGGTGTGTTCCACAGATGTCAGATAATGTGTGCAGTAACTCTTCATGAATATCGCACATGGGCTGAGAAAAGAGGGCCTAGAGGTGGTGGAGGAATCTCTAAAGCTTACGTCAAAAAAGTGCAGCCAAATAGTAGGGGATCTAATTAAGTGGTAAAAACTGGTAAAGATAAAAAGTTAAAGTTACAAAAGATACAGCCTCCACATTACCACCTTTAATCATCATTAGAAGAACTTTTACTATATGCTTCCATTCACACATAGCTCCTGGAAACCATCTGACCTCCCAGCATAAGGATTCGTTCGCTCGACGGTAGGCGGGTCCTTTTTTATTTAACCAATCTTTGCTACATGTAATGCGCCAAATCCCATAGGAAGAAGGGCAATAACGTGTTTCCCCTTGATAAAATTCACCAAACATTCTCTTTGTTCCGGCTTTAAATCTGCGATCTCGGGAATCGTTGCCAACACAGAATGTATGGCTTCGTCTACATCCATCTTGACCGCTTTGTTTACTGTTGTGCTGTATCACAAATGGGACCCAGACAGGTGCTTTAGTTTGACGTCATGGCTTCACAGGTCTCCATTGATTGGCTGGTGCACGGTCTACAACTTCCTGAGTTCTTACAAACCATCTAGTGTATTCCAATTCCTGACCTAGTCACTGGAGAGAAATGAAATTGAGCAGAGGCACTAGGTGTGGCCAGCCTGGCTACTTAATTTGAGGCTGTTATCCATGAATCTTAATATGTTTCTGAGTTAACTTCACATTTATTCCCAAAAATTAATATTAAACATAGATATTTTCCACCACTGCTAGAGACATGGAAAAAGGGGTTAAGTAAATGTAAAATTATGGGGGAGTGACCCTCATTCAGAAGTTCAGTGGTAATATAAGAGAGCATTCATTCAAAAGAAATACAGTCTACGAGTATATCCTTACCAAAACGAACTTAAAAGTATCAAACTGCTTCTAAGGCAAATCTAAACACAGCTGCCTATAGTCATACTACTTCTTATGCTTTCAGTCTTCTGGCCATAAAGGAATCAAAAGGGATTTGAAAAAGCCAAAGGTCGTTCACACATAACTCTTATTACACCTCATGTCCATCACTCCCAGAGCAAAAGACCCCATTCGCCCCTGTGCCCTATGAGCCCACCAACTACCCAGGCTAACCATCACATCACGATCACATCATTAATAGGGAATACAATGCACTTTAGTGAAATTACGGACCTAATCAGCTTATCATCCAGCCTGTGCGTGCTAATTTAGCTCAACTTCAAGGCAAAGTCCCCCAGCCAGGCTAAGGCTCGCTAAGACAAGCCGAAAGCCCCTTTAGATGCTAAGCTGATTGAGGGCTCAGAGGTAAGGGCCAAATCCGTCTTGTCCATTAGCGTTGGCGTTGCTGGTTCAAAGGGCTAGTGGAAATGCCACAAGGAGACTGAAAGATGTTGAAATAATAACGGCAAAAACCAGACAAAGTTAGAAAAAATTTGCAAGCAAGAATTTCCTAGTTTTTACAGATATTAAAACACTAAAAAGAACTAGAAGACGAACACAAGAGCACTAGAAAGAACACAACAACTCGCCTTTATGTAACAGATAATACTCCCTACAACTGTACAACAATTTCTCCTTTGTAACGGATATATCCTGTCAATCATCATATTCTTCCTATGACCTCCTGTATAAAGCTGTGAGTTTATATTTTATTACTTATCTTTCAATTTTATTTTGACTTGTACATTTACATTTATATAATGATGTCTTATTTGACACCTGTCTCTTGCTCTTTTTTGCTTATTTAGAATTTATTATTACTAGGGATGTAACAATAACCGAAATATCATGATATTGTAGCATCAAAAGTCTCACAATAATATCATGGGTGATCACAATATATCGAATTACAAATTTCTTCATAGTTATGGTGCAGCATCAACAAAAAAAAGGGAGAACTACATATACCATGATCCTTTGCTCTGTTTCAGTCCAATCTACATGATGAAATAACTATTATGAAGCACTTTTAAATCTCATCATTTTTTGATTATGACAGAAAAGTACCATATTCACAGTTTTGTTAGGTTCCACAAAATATTGCAATAAATATCGTACCGGGACAGCGATATCATTACATCCCTAATAATCACCATTTATATTTTCACTCTTCGTTATATTATTTTATAATGTGTGAGCTACTGTGTCCAAATAATTTCCCTTGTGACTCAATAAAATTAGTCTAAGTTTAAGTCTATTGTGTTCCATACATTTTCTGAAGAATTGTCCTTGGCTAGAGTTAACAGAAGCCAGTGAAGGAAAAAAAAACAAAAAAAACATAGGCAATACCAAAGAATAGGCACAGCAGATTTCCATGAGATTTTTGTATTCAGGTCTTGGCAACGTGGCATAAATACCTTGGCAGTGGTTTACTGTATATACTTTCGTATATAATCTTGACACAATCATGGGGTGTACTGCACTTGTTTAATTGCAGCAAGACAAGCCAAATGTACCAATTTTGTTCTTAGAAAAAATCCATCAACTTAGAAAGGATCACAAGGACTTTGCACTTCACGTACATACAGACAAGATGTTGAAGAGGCTAATTTCTCAGGAAAGCCTATATAAGGACCTCAGACAAGCAAAGGAAAAAACTAAGAGGATGGGGTTGTGAAGAAAAGTGACCCCGGGCATTACCCATGCTCCATTTGAGCAGGTCAGGCTGATGGAAGACTTTCAGCGCATTACACATCATGAGACTGATTACTCTGAGACGGAGGGGGAAAAATGGAAATCAAGAGAGGGGGAGAACAGGGACGGAGGGAGGGAGGGGGAATATGTGAGAATGTGAATCTGGCAGGGTGCTCTGAAACCCTGCCAGGATCAGGTGATGTTTCAGCTTCTTCAACTCATTTCACAAAGTCCTTCAGAGGCAAGGACGCAGATGACTGACAGCTGTGTAAGTGCATGGTAATGGCATGTTGACTGGAGCTCCCTCTTCAGTCGCTGATGTCACAGGTCTCTCCTTGTTAAGTGTGTTGACAGGCAGCACCTCGTCAGGGAGCATCACAGGGACAGAGCAGCTGAAAGTGCAGGGGCAAAACTGGTGACTCCTAAGTGTCGACATGGTGACGGCGAGTCCTCTCAGGCTCAATATGCGTCAAGTGGAGTCGCTGAGTTTCAAAGTGGAGGGAATGAAAAGGCTGTTAGAGTCAGGAAGTGGGAACAGGTTAATGCAGACCTGATTGTTAGGCCAGCAAAGGGTCATTTCAGGGATTTTCTCAGTTCAGGGCAATTTATGATCTAATGTTACTTTTTTTAAATCATTATCATTATGCATTGATACGACACTGGTATCAGATACCAGCTTCCAAATATCAGTTCATTCGGTATTCTGATTAGAGATATACAATGATGTAATATGACTATTTACTGGATGCAGTCAGCCCACACAGTCTCACAAAGTTTGAACTTTTACTGATACAAATTTGTTCTGTTGAATCTAGGGTGTGCAAAAATACTGAAATATCGATATATCGTATCGTTTAATGTGATGATACAGTATTGATATCGGGGACTGCTGTATCGATATATATCACCAAGAGTATTTTTTGGTATATTTTACAACATTAGTTTGTTACAGCGCTACAGGTTTGCTGCTTGTTTAGAGGAAGGAAAGTCGTTTATGCGACACCTTTGACATTTTCAGTGTTTTGATGTTTATGTTTCTTATGAACTTTGCCCAAGAAGTGGTTTAAGACTTAAGACTTTTAGTATCACAGTCATGATTTAGCCTTTTTTTTTTACTGAACCAAATCAAATTGATTTGAAATATATCGTATTAAACCGAAAGTGCACTGTATTGAGATATGTATCGTATCGTGGCCTATATGTCGAAGTATGTATCGTATCGGCAACTTCTTAATGATACCGAGCCCTAGTTGTTACTTGAGAGATAAATAAGAGCTCCATAACACATTTGTATCAGTTTTGCCTCATTTTATTTTTGTTTTAAAGGAAATAAATCTTGTTCTCAGTCATGACACTGGTATCGATTCATATCGAGTATCACCAAATACTAAGCTACTATAAGCTATAGTACTGGAATTGGTATCAGAACTGAAACAGATGGATTGGTGTATCTCTAATTCTAACCTTGAATCCCTAGGGTTGGGTTAGCATCAAGTATTCAAAAAAAAATTATTCCAGATCATTCACTTATGGTTAAAAAATATCATGTATTGTTTTTCAGAGATAAAACTAAAATCTTCTGTTTGCTATGGTGATACAACACAATACAAATATAAAAAGGCAGGGCCAATTAGTTCTGCATTTTTAACAGGAAATCAATAGTCCTGTTTTTATTAGCTCTTACAAATCATTATTGTTTTATTGCTTTTATTTCATTGTTGTTTTGTTTTATTTTATTTTATTTTTTTAATAATAAGATGACGTAAGTTCCACTGTCCTGAATACTTCAAAATGACATAAATGGGTCAAGGCCACATTTGGGTCATCTAGACTTCAAACCAAACTAACAAAGTTTTTGACTAAACATGCGTGCAAAAAAACTTCTCAAAAACATGACTGAAGGGGCGAGGGTAGGGCTGTCTGTCTTTCCAGTTATGTCCAGCCAAGCCATGATCTACTCTCCTCATCTGTTCAATTTTCCACTACAGGCTTCAGTTGCGAGGCAGGCGTATGTGCAAATAACCGGGAGCATATGTACTGTATGTATGTTAAAGCCATACAGCTACAGTTCTGCCTGAAAAACCACTGATTGCTCTCATGTTACTTGTGGCAATCATAAGCAATGCAAGGTCATTCTCATTCAAATGCACACTCACACCAGGAGGAAACAGATTCCCTTTCACTTTGAGTCTTTCCCACCACCTATACACCTATGCTGCGTGTATTTGACTTCTGATGAAATATCTGATGAGAGATTTGGTTCACGATCACCTAATGGATCGATAAACAGATGCATTAATTCACACAGTTTTTAATCTCAATTTGGAATGACATATTTTTTCATATAAGCAATACAGTATGAACTTGAATAATGAATAATGAAGCATTGATTATCTTCCCTTTAGGATGTGACCCACTTTTAGATCCAACATAATGTAAACCAGTACTTTCAATCTTTTGCGCACTGTCCTGTCATATGAATCAGCTTGCGTTTCTCATCTTTATTTGGAATGGAATAATATATCGTCTTATGTGTTTCATGGGTTCAACCTGTCTTTGAGCCTGTACTCGTGCAGCCTCCTCCTGTGCCCACAGCGCCTCTCTATGCGCAGACGTTTTCATGCTCTCCCTTAGCGCCTTCTCCAACTCCCCAATCCGCTCGGCCGTCTCCCGCATTGCATCCTGGGAAGGAAGCTGAGGAAAATAGATGAGACCGGAGCCAGAAGAGGAAGAGGAGCAAAGCAGTGAAGGCCAAAGAAAGAGAGTATTTGTCTTTGAGCATGCTTTGTTGTTACTCAGTTAAGGTACATTTTACTGTTTATATGTATTATTTATTTACTACCATTATATGCTATACTTCACAAAGAAAACCAAGACCTGTTTTTAACTTTCCGACCTAGGTTGCCTTTCAGACCAGAGACAAAACAACAGCAGGCACTCTGAGCAAGAAGCAAACCAGGAACCCTTTGGTCCTAGAGTAGGGTGCATGCCATCTGGGTCCCTTACGGCTGCAACTATATTTAACGAACAAATTCATCTAACTCCTCAGTAGCACGCACGGAGACAACTATGCAGGTGCCTTAACATTCTAAACCTATTATTTAAGAATAAGACCCTACTTTCATAGGCTAGTTAACAACAAACACATAACTGACTTGACATAATAAAAAAAGTTGAGCAGCAGATAAGTAGCCCTCCTACAACCACTGGTACATGCACCACAGCTTGCAACCCACTAAACTAAACAATTAGCACTTCCCTCCCTGCTAGACAGCGCTGTCTAAGTAGCGTGACCTTTGTTACATCCCTGTGAGCCTGTATGGGCAGAGGCAGAGTGTGTGTGGCCCACAGTGAGGGCTGGGAAAGGATAGCTCTCCTCACTAGGTGATGGAACTGTGAAAGAAAACACTGGGTAGAAATAATAAACCTCCAATCGTCTCTGTATGCTCTGTACCCCTCCCCAATCACTTACTGAGGCAAGTTCACATGTTAGCACTTCTTCGACAGCAATACCCAGTGTGGAGATGTGACGATGGAGCATTTAAATAAAGACAATTTACATTCTGTTTGTATAGTGAACTAATGTCTTTCTGCACACTTTCATTTTGAATGGACCTTTGCTAATAGTGTTTTTACCACAACACGATGTGTACATTATTGATAATGTCTAATAAATATATGGGAGTGAGAATAATGTTTATGTTAATCATTTTGTTGATTGTAAATGACACATTATGAATTATTATTGTCCCTATTTAACTTTGTAATAATATCACATATTAATACATGTTATGCTAAATGTACATTATATCAAGGTCATAATCTGATCTATATCATAAATATATTTATTATGTTGTATACTAGTGTTAAAGATATGACATATATGTATTGCTTTGTGGTTGGTTGTTTTATTATTTGAAGAATTTACCATAAGCATGCATGAATGTCTAGTGTAATATAAAAGTACAAAGAGTATGAGTGATACTGACTAAAACAGACACCCTGGGATTACTGGAAGTGCGCTGGCAGAGCGTGCCAGGAGCTAAATCACAAGCGGATACTTGTGGCTGGTCACGTCGGGCGGGCACAGCTGGAGGTGAGCGACAATGCGCCGCACACGCTCTCACAGAGGCAGCCTGTGTACTTCACCGTTCCACACGGGTAATTGAACGTGGCACATGAGCAGTAATTCGATGCACTAGAATCAACAAGTGCTGGTCTAACATCACCAAACACACACACAACTATACTGATGCATGTGCCCGGGCTCCCTGCTGAGATGGGTCTGCCACAGCTGGACCCTGACTGAAATCTAACCTAATCTGAAGACCCTGTCTGTCTACAAAGTTCAAAGTTAATGTCTGAACAATTGGGAAAAAAAGCATTCTTTGTTGTCAAGTTTGATTTAAACAGAAATGTCAGTCTCTGTTGTTGCTGGTCACAGACAGTTCAGAATTATTACTTAAACAAAGACTGAAACAAGACTAATCACATATGTACATTTTGTGTTTAAGTATTTTGACAGTCTTAAAGATACTTTTGTCTGTTGCATTTTCCTTGAGAAAGGCCTTAGTGCCAGACTGTATATATAAATGGACATAGCAAACCTACTAGATGCCACATTCCAAATAGGAAGTGAGCATGGGGCACTTCTGGCTCCATCGACTCGGGATCAAATTTACTTTGTCTTGAAAAAAACATTGACCCTATCTTTGTAACTGCTGCTTTCAGCCTCCTCATTATGGTCTAAAAATGTCTGTATTAACCTGCTCATGATGATACTAATTGTGCTATTTTGTCCACAAATCAATTTCTATTCCTGAAATGGAACCTGGCACAAAATTCTCTCCTGTAACTGCCAGCCTTGGTGAGCTTCATTTGACTGGAGCCAAATGCTATGGGTGATGTCACACTCCCTTTGTCCACTTCTTTATACAGTCTATGCTTAGGACCCTTCTCCAGATCTTAATCAGGACTACCTAGCTGGAGGTTTAGGTTGTTTTAGGTTCTCTATTACAGTCATCTCTAGTTTCTTATGATGAGGGTATTGCAAAGCAAAATACAGTGCAGCTCTAGTGTGAGCATGGCTAGTGTGAGCATGACTTTCTGCACGGATGGGAGAAAATGTGCAAACAGCAAAGCTCAGATAAACAGATAGAGAGCAGTGAAAAATGTAAAGATAATTGCCTGTGCAGCAGCAATCATCACCTAATGCCTTTGGGAAGGGTCATTATGGAGTCTGGCCTTCCTGGTTTGATGGAGGGATTATAATCACTAAAATAAATGAGCGGGAGTGAGAATATGCATATTTCCAGCAGCTGTGTCCTGACAATCCTAAGATTTTTCACACTGCACTCCTGCCCTATATTACAAAAGACACACATGGGGAAAATAATCTTAGTGTGCGATAATGTATGGCATAAAAACATGTTATTATATCATTATATAGCTTTGAGTGGCATTTGTTTAGCATTTCTTCAACTGATTTTTAATGCATTATCACTTATAATCAATAGTAGAGAGTTACAGAACAATGAAATAAGTGCAATTAAAGAAAACTGGCTCCTTGCTACTATAAAAGAATATACTTTATCTTATCTTTTTTTTTTTACATAAACACAAAGGGGGAGGGAGAGGGATTTTGCAGATAAAACCCATATGAATTTAAAACAATAAACGAAGTCGGCGTGAATGTTTGAAGTGAGCATTTCCGAGGCAAGCGGTCTCTGTGTTTTGGAAGTGCAGCGTGGCGCGATGGAGACGATCAAACAAAGAGATACTATCGCTCCATCCCACATAAACTCTCTGGAAAGAGACGAGAGGAGCGGACATGTTTGTTTGTGTTTATGCTCAGAGTGTGCATGTTCCCGATCGACGCAAAGATACAACTGGAGATGGAAAGAAAGAGATGGCTGACTGGATAACTAATCTGACGCATACAGGAAAAGATTTTTCTAAAAACTTTTTCAAATTTTCTTTTTAGTGGATTCCAAATTTTATTCCTAACTAAACAAGCATGACACTCTACAAAACATATCTTGTGACATCATGTGCACAAATTGCATCACCACTGGCCCTCATTTTTAACAATGCTGACCACTGCAGAGCGAGAAGACCTCAAGAAATGCTCTGATCTAATCTAGTCAACACAACTTGGAGAACCTGCTCAGTTCCAAACTTGATATTTTTTTCATCTCCCTAATGCATGAAGTTTAAGGACATACTGTTCGCTGTCTGTTTAATAGTCCATATTACACCCACTGACAGGTGCCACTGTGAAAACATACTCAGTGGTGTTCTTAATGTTATTCCTGTATATCGGCTTTTGCCTCAAAGGACCTTGAATCTTGTTCCAAAGCTCATATAACACTTGACTTAAAATTGAAGACCATATGTTTTAACAGCACTATTTCCTTGTGTCAATATTTAACAAGACGTGAAATACATACCCCAAATAACACTTTTCCACCTCTTTCTAAAATACCTTTCCTTAACAGACAACATCCATCACTCTATATCAGTCTATCACTCCACTTTACAAGTCTCTCAGCGACTTTAATTCTTCCATGTTTTAGTAATATACTGTAAATGTGTTCTGCCCAGACACGGTTTAATACAGGAATCGGATGTAGGATGTTGCCTGCCAGAGCGCATAGAAATAACAAAATCGTACGGAGAGAGCGGGATGGAGAGAGGCTCGCACTTCATTTGGCAGAAGGATACAGAGAAGTGTACTCTACTTCATCGGCCTCATGGGGAAACCCTGGCAGGGCTACATTCTGCATATTAACACTACTGCACTCATAGGCCTGATACGTGTATACAGCGGAGCGAGAAGCATCCACTACTGCTGACACTCATGACACTTTGTACACAAGCTTACAAATTATATCGCTTGATGTTGGATATCAAAAATTTAATCTTCAACATTACTGACATGGCTTAATTCAGTAATGTGGGATCCCTGGAGGCATTTCACTTCTGGCGAGGATGTTGCTACACTAAATACCTGCCTTTTTCGTTGAACTTTTAGTCAGATAAGTATAGCAGGGCACATGAAATGCAAAAAGTAAAAGGACAATGCAAAACACCAACCTGTGATAAAGACTGTGGGTGCGCATGTCCATCTGGAACTGCATCTCTTCTCATCTCAGCTGGGATAATCTGCTTCTGGATGTTGGGCGATTTGATTTGCCTTTACAGGAAACAAAAAGCAGAAGAGTAAGGTAAGAGTAAGATCAAACTTAAATCTATCTATAATCCAATTTAAAGTCTTTTTGAGTTATGCAGCTTTTTGGAGGCGGCACGTCACCTGCATGATTCCATAAAGCCATACTCGGAACATTCCTAGTAGAGATACAGATACTGTGGAAAATTATAGCCAAAGAAAAACAATTTCCATGGAAACAAACAAGAACAGCCCCACCTCCATGCCAAATAAGAGTCAGGCTTGTGGGGAAGCAAGCCCTTTCAGAGTTTTTCAGTGCAACAAACAAAACCACAATGAAAAAAACATGCTTTCATTTTGGTCTACGTTTTGGCTAAAAAGTGACATACTGTGGCTTTAAATAAGATAATTGAGGGTTAACCTAAATTTGAAGTTTCAAGTATGAAACACGTTTTGATGCGATTTTGTGTGTCCGTTGTATTAAATAAAGTTAGGTTACGCCTGCGGGGCAGTTCACCAGTGAGGTACAGAGTGCATGTCTAGTCTCAGTGACAGAGAAGACCAGAACAAGCCCAGACAGGCCCGATGCTGGTGAGACACTGCTGTGTAAATCATTCAACAACATAACACAAACAGATGCAGACACAAGCACATGCAAGTATAATGACACACTGCAAAGCAATAGAAATGAGAGGAGAGGAACACCGAAATGACACTACATTACTTCAGTTTTCTGACAGTTTGTGCGCTCTGTTGAGGCATTGATTACACTGTTCTTTCAGATGCTCAAGTCAGTAGCAACTGTTTGCAAATGAGTCGCATTTTAGAAAAGCAAAGCCTCCTAACCATTACTATATGCATACACCAGCATTTGGAGTGTTTGTGAGAGCCAGTACTGTAGTGTTCTTGGTACTTGACATTTCAACCTTGTTTATTTATGAATGTGGTGCGTTTAGGGTCAGAGAGGACAGACATTAAGCCCAGTTTGGTCAGGATCACCTAGCTGGAGGTTTTTACCTATTGTGCAGATTTTGGGTTGATGGGGGAAATCAGGGTGCCCAGAGGAAAGCCACTCAGACACAGGGAAAAATGTAGAATATAACCCATCCTCTGATAGGACTATTTGCGTGGGAAAACTACTGCTTCATGACAGCACAAGGTGGAATAGAGCTTTTAGAGCTTTGGAAATGTATTAGTAGATTAACTAATAATGACTAATAAACCAAGGTTACGCAAACGTGTCTAAATGAAAACAAAACACAACTCCAGATATGTTTTTAAGGAGAGCATACCTATTTTCCCTCAGCCCTATGTTCCTATTTCTATTTTTTTTTCCTTTACAAAATTAGGCCCTATGTTCCCACATTTGATTTATCTTAAATTTCCATCAGAATTTATCCCAGTTTCTCCCAATTTGGTCGTCAGTTACACCCAACTTATCATGGTGCAAAGGACCATAGGTTGAAATGACTCTGAATCATCCCTTTAAATGCAGCATAAAAATAAAAATGACTTGACTTAGAGTTTCATTTTAAGAAAAATCTTAGAAATAAGAAAAATCTTAGAAATAAGGAAACATAGGGCTGACCCCATTTTTTTAAGGAGATAACAACATTTCATCATGGTTTAAAACTCACAAAAGTCCGTTTTTGCTGTATTCAATGTCTTTGTTTGTTTTGTGCATGATTTAACGACTAAGGGGCTGAAGGGCAGTAGTATCTGACATCAGTGAAGGAAAGTGTGTCTATTAAAAGCAGTGCAATTAACAAACTTATGAGGAAAGATGGCATATATGGTACATGGCCCAAGACTTTTTTCGACCTAGTATCAAACTGCAAATATTAAGCTAACCTATAAACAGATAGAACATATAGACTGACACACAGCACTGAGCCAGTAGCACACATGTCCACACATTCAGACCCGCAAAAAGCCGAAGAAAGTGCAAAGGAGCTGACAGTGACAAATTAGTGCTTAAGAGAACCCTCCGACACTGTAAACAAACTGTGACCACGCAGCTGCTCGCCTCGCCCACATTATTATTCTACATCCACACTGCACTGTTGACTCTGGGCACCTCTGACAAGACAGCCCCACATAGGCACAAATATCTGCTGTCACGGTCCACAGAATACCCTGTGTGTCTCCGCGATTTCCAGGCTAATTTTGTTGTAAAAATAGCCAGCACGATGAATAATTAATAGACATATATTTAGCGCACTTCTATGTACGTTGGTTGCGTTTATAGACATTCTTCGGTTCTGTACGGAGAGATTAAGTAGGAGTTCTTGACCGTTGTACCAATATTTACATGTGTAATGGCTACTTGAAAACCCTTGTAGTTATCAGTATGTAGCTTTTAAAAATGCCTGATAACGATTATGATTTATTTGGAAAAAGTACATGTATGGGAGAGCGTCTGGGTAGCGGTGGGAACCAGGCTGTTTGTACTGATCTTTGATGTTCCTGTGAATGTTTTTATTAGCTTCGAGGCATGTCCATAGAGAGCCCACTTGCCATGAGGGCATATCACCTATCAGTCAGAGGCACTACTGGCACAGGTGTAAAAACCAACAGACGCGCTGGTGCTTTTTGATAAATGATCCGCCCTCATCAAGCCTTCAGCACCCGCAATGAGGTAAGTGTTTTGATCAATGGAGAGGCAAATGAGGTGTGTGAGCTACAAGTATTTGAGCTTGGCCGGAAAGCTGGGATGATATTTGTGATTTGTTGATTACTAAATGATTGAATTTAGGAAGGGGGAATATATATTTTATAGCAGTGACATTTATTAGCGAGGCAGCACGCAGATGAATTCAGCCTTTAAATGGAGTGTAATAAGTAATTTTTCACGTTTCCTCTCTGGAGCGCTCCCTGTCTCCTTAGTCCAACACAAGCAACTCCGATTCAATTCTGGCTGTCAATGCGTAGCTCTCGTACGAGTGGATTCACATATTTTTGTCTCTCCACTCTTCTATTTTCTTTATAATTTTTTCAGATTATTTTCTCTGAATTATACTTGTGTTATCTTAATGGAAAGAGAGGTTTAGCTGTAAAGAAAGAGTGCCCAACATCAGGAAGCTGCGGTCACCTCAGGCCGCTCCCAAATCTGAATGTGGGAAACTGTGAATATAAAGGAGGTTGTTGCTGGAACAGGTTGTGCATTCTCATTGGACTGATCTGGGTATATAAAGTTTAAAGGCATAATAACCTTTGAAGAAATACAGTTTGTGAGTTTATTGCTATTAGTCTTAATTCTCTCATTTTTAATAAAACCACATAACAAAGGCGATCCAGAGTGCAAGGTTACTACGGAAATAAAATAAGAATGATTTGGACTAGGAATGACCGCCTTTAAGAGCCAATTATGCACTATTTTCTGATCTCAAAAACATAGCTGGAGCTGTGCTGTGTTTTATTCACATAAGCCCTGCATCTTTAGGCAAATTTCTTTTCTCAAAAAGAAAACACTTTGTGATGTCATGTGGTTATACAGGAAGTGCTCCACTGTGTTTTTGAATTCCATATACCTTCACTAGAATGATTTGGATAAATGTAGCCCTGGGATTATCTACCTGTACTAAACTAAAGGTAAAAAAGCAGCTGTTACCTTTAAAACTGCTACCTCATGACATCACAACATGGAACAGAGCATTTTGAGTTTAGGAATGTAGACAGACTATGGCTACGTTCAGACTGCAGGGCTTAATGCTCAATTCAGATTTTTTTGTGAAATCCGATTTTTTTGCAAGGTCGTTCACATTTCCAATTAAATGTAACTTGTATGTGATCTCCAGTGTGAACATTAAATGTCCCAAAAGTGCATGCGCATTGTAGGACATGACGTCACACGCAACAAGCGTGCTCAGTGTTTATAAAAGTAACTTAAACATGGACGCAGGATTGAACACATAACAATTTTAAAGTTGCTGTCGTACCAGAGACAGAACCTGTACACCTTATTTGTTTTAAGGAGAAGATTGAGAAGGAGAAAGACAATGTTTTTGGCCATGGGGTTTTGTGGGGCAATGGCAACAGCGTCTGTAGAAAGGAACGTGTGGGTGCAGAGTCGCAGAGTTGTGGGCTTGATATGTGCTTCGCTGCTTCACTCACACGAAGTTCAAACACAATTTTCATATGACGTGAAGAATGTTTGTGTGCATTTGTGAGCACTTACTTGTACCACTCTTGCGAAAGGACAACCGGTGACCTATTTCAATGAGCAAATGCGTCTGCGTTGGGCTGTATGGGCTTGTAACAGATCCTTGTTACTGTGTTGTTATGACGTGTGGGTGGGATGAATGCGACCTGGCCGTTTGGACTGAAGTCGCATGTCAAAAGATTGGATATGTATTGGTGTTAAGACCACATATCCAAGTGGCCTGGGTCACATTTGAAAGAAATGGATCTGTGTTTCTGAGGATGGAACAACATTTTAACATGGCTTAAAGCTCACAAGAGTCAATTTTACGTACTATAGGACATTTAAATTGTAGCTCATTGGCAATAACAGTTACTGTTTGTCAAATGATTGCCTTCAGGAAATAGTTGATAACTTCAAATAAGAAATTAATTACCAAAAAACCAAACATTCAAATGCTGATTCAATTTATTTATTTTGCTATATTTCTGTTGCCAGGGTTTCCACGCTACTTAGGAATAAGTCAGGAACTCATGGCCAGATTGGACTAAGAAAAAGACATCCACTGACAGCTATTCAATAACATTCATTCACTATGGGATTTAATATTTTTCTATTCACCTATACAGGCACATTTTTGGCGAATGGAACCAAACAGGAAAAAAATTTGGTCTGTGTAAATGTTTTCAAATAATTTTATGATGACCTGAATACTTGGATTTAGTCTTGCTGGCAGCTAGATGGTTGAAAACGTGTACCTTCTCTCATCGTTTTCATTAATTTCCCAGAATAATAGAAGTTAATTGGCCTTATGACCTTGTTCCAATGCTAACACTCTGATTAGAAAAGACATTCTTGTGTCTAGATACAATTCATATACACAAATCTAATTAATGGAAAACCCTATACTGATCTGCCAAAGATATAATGATGTGGTGTTGAGCTGTTGTTACCCTGCCAATCTCAATAACAAAACTACTGTATTCCTATTAATGCGCATATGAAGAGAGAGACCACATAGTTGTAGTAAGATAGAATAATAGTTGTAATGTAAACTGACTGTGCTATTGGGCTTTTGAACCTAGGGCCAATCTCGCTGAAGCAATCAACATGCTGTTCGTTTGAGTTTGGTTCAATGTTAGCGAATCCTGCCTTTTAAAATGATGCATTGGATTAGACAAGTTGTAAACAGCTAAAAACCTATTGTTTAGTAAAATATACTGGTGTGTAATTGGCTCTGACTCAGCACAGTGTTCTCGTGCCAAAGAGTAGAGTCTGTAAAACGGGTAATAAATGAGGAAGGAAACGCTTGAATTCAGAGCACACAGCCAATTCAGATCCATCCTAAACCATTACAAACCACAGCGAACATATTTGGCACTCCTGATGGGGCTAACGCTGGGTCAACGTTATTATCAGTGTGAAGGATTTTGTCAGTAATAATCTAGTACATATTGATAGCATTTGCGCCGCTATAAAGCTGCATCACGTGTAGTCCATTATCACTTCATGCTAATCCAAAAATCAGATAATAATTGAAAAGTATCTTGCCAGTAGTAAATACCACAAATTAACAGCTAGTGTTTGGACCAGTCTAACACCACCTACTGTTCTGGATAACACAAGTAAAATACAGAATTTACAGTATGTACGGTATAAAAGGTTACGGAAAATCACATTAAACATTAAGCGTAACAAGACACAAAACAAATGATTGAAGTGAGTGTTGTAATTGAAGGAATATATTGTTTTAGGGATCTTAATAAGGGTTGCTGCCTATTTAACATTGCATGTTTATTGTCCCAGTGTGGTTGTCAAAAGTAAGAAATGTGGGAATCCAATTTAAGGCATTGTAAAGTTTTCCACTTATACCTGGGAATGCTGTAAAGGAGCCATTAAGACTAGTGGGTTAAATAACAGTATTACAGTTCTGTTGACAGTTGTGTGGAAGGTTTTGGAAAAGTAGCATCAGGAAAATGATGGAGTTAGGATAAAGCTGGAGATATTGACATGCTCCTTGTATGTGATTAGAGTGAAAAGCATTAGGAAGACCACAATAGATAGGGCTGACTGACATGGGGACATTATGTTATAGAGCAAAAGGATTTTAAAAACATGACTATTTATGGATACAGAGAAGATGCAGAATACTTGATGAAATGGGGACAGATAAGAAAAAACATATAGTATAAATTTCCAGACTTACCCAGGCCTGCAGACAGAAATACACAGGAACAAATGAGAACTTGTTAGCATTACAATGTAAAATTGTGAAGATTTTGTACTTCTAAATGCATGAGACTGCATGAAGTTTGTGTTCAGAGATAACACATTCATAAACAAAAGCCATGTCCCAATTCAAAGGCTTCAGCCCTCAAATTGACGTTTTTCACAACGGCCGGAAGTGCCGCGATGTAGGGTAAACGTCACTCCTGGTTAATGCTTTTCTGTGGCAAAATATCTGTGGAAATGTCTTGCGTATTTTCCACCAGCTTCATAAATCTGCCCCATCACCAAATCTTCATCCAACAAGGTCCACAAATCATAAACATTCTTCCATGAAGAATTTATCCACAACTATTAAGGTAAGAAAGACGAAAGCTTAAAGACAACGACTACCAAAACTACTGAGCAAAACTAACATTATGGTCATGAATAAAACAAAAGTAACTTGTTAAATCAGACTGATTCTACAGTTAAAATTAAAAATCGATTTAATGATGTAGATATTAGCATAGAAAGAGAGATTTGTGCAGTTTAAGACATGTGAACATGTGTAGTATTTACACTGCACAAATCTCTCTGCCTATGCCAATATCTACATCATGAAATTGATTTTTTATTTTAATTCTAGAATCAGTCTGTGTTAACAGGTACTTATTAATGAATTACTTGTTACCTATTTTTTATTCATGACCACAACGTTAACCTTTTGGTCAGTAATTCACTAATGCTAGTCGTTGTTCGCCTTTACGTTTTTGTCTTTCTTACCTTGATAGTTGTGGATAAATTCTTCATGGACAGAATATGTCCTTTGTGGACCTTGTTGGATGAAGATTTGGTGATGGGGCAGATTTATGAAGCTAGAGGAAAATACACCAGACATTTCCACAGATATTTTGCCAAAGAAAAGCATTAACCATAAGTGCCTACATCGAGGCACTTCTGTTGTTGTGAAAAAAGTCTATTGGGACATGGCTATAGACATTTTCAACTTATACTATATATAATATATATTATATATTATATATATATTCAGTCTATGGACACTACTGGGAAATACATTTATCACTCTGTAATATAAGAATAGTTTTGAATGCACACATAATTTACTAATTCTATGTGACAACACAAGCCCGAGCTGTATAGATATGTGTTTATGTTTATTCTGAGTCTGTGTTTGACCCTCACCTCTCCAGGTCAGATATCTTTTTATCCTTGAACGATCGGTCTGTTTCGGCATCCCTCAGAGCCGCCATGAGCCTGTCCACTTCGGCCTGTGACTTGACCGACTCCTCTCTGTAACGGGACACTTCCTGCTCCAGCAGCCTCAGACGCTCGGTGATGTCAGGGCTTCGCGATGTTCCGTTTAAACTCGCCGTCTTTGAACATGAAAGACACAAGTGGTATTTTAGACAAACAGGGTCACATCAAAGCAATTATAAATGTAAAGATGCTAACAAAACGATGGTAAGAGCATTAGAGGCGTTAAATTAAAAAGTAGTAGAAGATGACAGAGACTGGAATTTGGAAACTGACATGACTCATGTCTGGTGAGATGAGACACTCTGTAGGGGATGTGATGTTGTTAAATGACCATCAAACAAACAAGACAACAAAGGACACTTTAATAGAGAAGATCCTGTAGAGCATGAAGCAAGTGTCTCCCATTTTGTACCGAGGGACAGACTGGAACATCTAAAATGTCCTATTGCCTTCTGTTTATGCACCGTTTGTCAATCTATAGTACGTTTTGTTAGTGATTAGAATTGTGGGCTACAGTAGCTAAGTTGGTAGAGTGTTTTGTCCGCTGATCTGAAGGTTGGTGGTTTGAATCTCACTTTTGACATAAACATAATTGACTGAGTGGACAGATCCACTGGTGTATGAATCTGTGTGTGAATTTGTGAGTGGTTCCTTAATGTAAAGTGCTTTGAGTGACTTAAAGGTGGAAAACTATATAAAAATGTGACCATTTAGCATTTACTAACAAATCAGATATCAAAACTAAACTTTCAATATTGTTTTCAAAAGTTTCAGTGCTGTGGTGGATACATAAAGCCCACCTATAGATAAATAAATATTAATATCAATGCATACAACACAGCTTTTTTAATAAATACACTTTAAGATGAGTGAAAAGAATGTGCAGACAAAGCTATGTCTACACTGATCTCACTGAGCTCATGCTGCTGGTGGTCATAGCAAACAGAGATGGAAGCTGAGAGCTTAGATCTTACAGTCAATCAGCTGAACAAAAGAGCCAGTGTGTGTCATGTAGTAGCAGAACTAATAGGGCGTCTTAGACTCAGACTGAAGACTGAAATGGCCCAGGGGTCACGTGTGAGCCTCACCCGGGAGAGGTAAGGTATCGCTCACTGTGGTTGGAGTCACCATTTAGCCAAAGCGTGTCCAATCTGGCTCATCCGCTCGCATCCTCTCATCACCCTGTGGTCCCTGTGCTACTTTTCTGTGGTCCACCTCCTCAGGCCATCCTTCACATCCACTTTGGAGTTCACTTATTACCATTACAAAATGACTGTCTGCTCGTGTTTGTCTGTGGGATTTTATGAGGCCACCTAACATCTCCACATTTTTCTGATGTAAAATGTTTGAAGTCAATGAAGCACTTAAGACTTTTCCAAGAAAAATATCCCAAAGGAAGAATGCAACCTTAAATTACCTTTCCCATTATTTCAACCAAACCACTTTGTCCATATTTGTCTCATGCAATGAGACATAGCTCTTGGGGCTCTCATTTAAGTATCATAAGACAAGCCAGGGGTTAGAACAGTGTATTTGCTTCCTAACATCTATTTTTGTACTTTTATAGCAACTTTAGTTTAATTTGACTATAAACAAATTATGTCTAATGTCCCAGGTTCATGCAGGAATTTTCAGTAAAAAAATAAGCAAGCTTTTGATACAGAGCAACCAGATACACATTACAACTAATAGTATAAGCAGAGGCTCAAATTAGATATTTTTCTGTAATCGATCTTAAAAGTATCAGTTATACCTATGCCATTTTTGGTTTAAACGTGTCTGGAGAAGGGTTGGAGGAAGCAGTGCTTATTTGTTCCAATATCTTGTTCAACTCTTTACATTTTCTAAAATTTCTGCAGGAATAATACACCCACTTGTGCCCGACTGTACAAATGCCAAAGCCTATGTAAAATGAGGAACACCTTTCCTGATAAAACGTGCAGCTCCACACCGCAGTACCCCCGTGCCTGGCCTCTACTCTTTCACACACATCAAAATCAATCTAAAGCTGAACAAAATACATTAAGTCTAAGTGGAGTGGAATTTGTTATGGACATTTCAGTGGAAAACACCGGTGTCACTGGAGCCGGGGTTCAAAGGTCAGCCCAATGTCCAACTGGACCTTTTTATATTATGACAGAAAATGAGAGCCTGTTCGGATACAGTTACAGTCTGCATGTGGCTGTGAAAATTATTATTATCATTCCAATGGGTTTTTCTTTCTGAGTAAATGTTACAAATTAAGTAAACGTGTGAGGTGGTGGAGTTTTTCTTGGTAATTCAATTCCTATTGCGAGGTAAAGTGTACACTAAAGCTGACAATAAGTCTTACTGTACTGCACTAAAGAATGTTAAGTCAAAGCACCAATACTACTCAGCACGTATTATAAAAATGATCTACTTCCTACACAGCATTATTAGTCACCAACATATAAAAGAATGAAGGAAATCTTAGGAAAATAAGACACAGATTAAGGTGTGTCTTGTTGAGTGCCTTCCCCGAGGTTATACTTTGAAAAGAAATGTTTAGTTCCAGAAATCCTTTATTTACTTTGGAATCAACAAAGTAGGACACTGAGGTCAACTTGAATAACTATCACTAAAACAAACATCTGCTAATACAAAATGATCAGCCAATAAGAATCTTCGAGACAGTTCTGTTTAAAACATGCTGCGTCATGGTAGGCTGCAGGTCAAAACGAAATCAGTTGCATGTATGAAGCAATGCCAATTGTAATACTTTTTATGCTTTTTATTCTTTTATTTTGACTACTTTGGACACCTTATCCTTGGTATTTCCTGTAGTATAATTTAAGATAATGTATTTGTTTTGGAAATACCTGAAAGCCTTAGCTGGCATAAAATTTGTCTGTACAAAACCCCATGCTGAGGTTGTTATGATTTTGACTGCCTCTTCTGGCGCATTAGAAAGTGAAGTAATTTGCATGAAGCTAAAATAGTTTGGAGCTCAGTAAATATGCTGGATTGCTGAAACCTGTGCGGATGAAACAAACCACAACTCCAGCTTTATTTTTGATGAGGTTACAACAGTTCAACTTATATTATATTACTATACTAAAACATTAAGCACAGAGGGTGAGTTGATGCGAAACTGCAAGATGATTTATTGACTCTTCTGAGCTTTAAGCTATATTAGAATGTTGTTAATTCATCCAAAACATACCTGGAGTTGTATTTTTTCTCACACACGTTTGAGTAATCTTTCATTATTAGTGTGTCTACATCTCCAAAGCTCAAAATGCTCTGTTCCACCTTGTGATGACATGAAGTGGTAGTTTCCACGTTAACAGCTACCTTTTACATTTTGTTTAGTGATTAGTGGTTTTTAGATATTATAAAAAGTGTTGTTATACAATGCAGTCAAACTTTCTATTCTGAATATGTGTGCATTCTGTCATAAACACAACCATCTTTCTATAATCTACATGGGCCTATAAAAACAGTATGACCAAGAATTACCAATAAAATGTTTTTCACGGGTTAATTTTGACAGTTAAGAAATACTATACTTTTCTCCATAATCAAGCTGCCCTCATAGAAACATTAACATATTACCACTAAATTCTGCAGTATAATGAATAGTGTTGTGTTCACATAATCATGCACTTGCCTGAGCGTTCTACACAGGATGAGTATAAAATTTTAATCTTACGAAAGATCAGATTTAAAGTCGTAAAGATTATTACAGCAGATGAGAAGAATGTTGTAAAAGTGAAATAAACAAAGAGATTATAGATTTGAGGAGACATGCCACAATGGCTCACTGTGTGCTAACATAAACAACAACTTTAAATGTTTGTGATTAGTGTCAATGACGAGCAGTATTATGAACTTGTGTAACTTTTTTGTAAGTGGTAGCTATATAAAATGCCATAAAACAAGACCCAATTTTCCCATAAAGTTGTCACTGAGATGGCTTGAATATTGCACCCATCCAACTGAACTGACTCATACTGAGCTAACAACTACTTTGGGAGCACAGAACTTGTTCAGATAAAATACAATTAATATTTTATATATCCTGTGTTTAAATTACTATAAGACTGACAATGGTATCTCAATCCAAAGCACATAGAACGTGATTTTATTTGACCAGTTGTATGAATTATTACAGTTTTACTAGAGGTGGCGATGGAGCATTCCTTTCAGCAATACCAGTCCAGTTTTGACCCTGTATGCTTCACCAGACATTGACTGAAAAACACCCAGACCTCAATTTGCCCTTTTTGAAGTTTACATAACAAGTTTGACTCCTGCCAAGTACACAAAATAGTGCAATTATGGCCACACTTCTGTCAAGAGTGAGAATTTACTCCTAAACTGAATCTCTGAGCTGCTACTGCTTTCATGTGGTACCGCGTCAACATTCAGCAAGATATCATTTCACATGAACAAGATGTGCATATCATATAAAAGAAGCATTCCCATAAATTTTGCAGACTGTGTTCTGGCTTGTAAACCTGAGAGAGGAGGAAGAAAGAGTAAAAAGACAACAGGGCCTCTGACCTGGCAACCATAGTGGCATAGCAGGATATTTTAGGCCATAAATCAGCCAGTTTTAAAGCAGCTCTTAATCCTGTAAGCTAGTAGTGCAAAAAGGCCCTTTACCAGACTATGTAACAGTCAATACGCACTGGGCGGTAGAATTAAGAGTGGATGTTATCTGGATAAATACAGAGCACAAACAGCCTATTACAACCTCTACAGTAGCTGAGACATCTTTTCTTTTTTGTACTATAAAGATAATTATAAAGTTCTTTGGTATTCCTTTGAAGAAGAAGAAAATGTTTGAAAGAAAGGTAGTTATTATATTTTCTTCTTTATGGACTATTCACCTTTGTCAGGGTAATGTTTTCACCTGCTTTGGTGGGTGTGCTGGTGAAACTGAAGATGAAAGATATAGGAAATGTCATAAATAGGATGAAATTGACTAAATATACCAATAACAATTTATCTAATAATAATAATGACTCCAACCACATGGTGTCAGTATGGAGCCAACAATTAGCTTTAGTGCATTGTTTACTACCTGAAGGCCTTAGAGTAACCAATGAACAAGAAGATTCAGAGTCAAGCGTTTCCTTTATCATTGCAAGATAGGGCCAGATTCTTTAGAAAATAAAAAGAATGTAAAAAATATAAAATTACAAATACTGATAATCTGACCTCTGTTTCCGTACGTTGGGTTGGGTTGGGGGTGGGGCTTGTGGACTGGTTGCTGGTTTTCAATGGTCTCTGAGGCTGTATGGTGGACAGTCTGTCTTTTAGTTCTTGGTTTTCTTTCCTCAGAAGCTCCATGTCTTCCAGCCTCATCCTGTCCTCTCGCTCCTTTTGTTCTCGCAGATTCTCAATCACACGCTCCTGAAAGTGTAAAGATAAAAATCAGGAACAAAACAGAAGCAAGGTCTTGGATGTTTGAGTAGGTTCCATTTTTGACTATCAGCCTTCAAAGTGCTAATCATTGAGTAAAAATAACAATTATAGTCTAAGAAGTATGTAATATTAGTAATTTTGAAATACTCATACTTGAAAATGACTTGAAATTTTGAGAACTAATAAAGCTTCAAATGTAGTAATTTTGAATTTTGTTCACCAGAAACAACTGTATTGATCTTTTTTTTAAAACTGTTTTTCTTTGTGCATTTTTGTTTGCTCAGACTATGAATGTGTTCAAAATAACAGCCTTTTCAGCTGGTCTCAGGCTATAATAAAAATACTTCTACTTTTCATTCCTGTTGAAAAATGTAGTGGAGTATAAAGTACAGATACCTCCTCTCAAATGTAATGAAGTAAAAGTGAAAAGTATTCACTTTCAAAAGTACTCAAATAAAGTATATCTACCTAAAATGTATACTTTTACTTTGTTACATTTCGCCACTGGTAATATTATAGAAACAACATCATTTTGTGCAAAAATTGCATTTTATGCCATGAGTAGGGTGCATTTTTGAGTATTTGTGAAAAGAGAAAAAGACATTTTTTTGTGTTTTGGGGGATACCTACAGATGAAGCAGGAATGAAAAGGAATAACTAATTCAAATTTTATGAGGCAGGTAATAACTAACTTAGATTGCATTTAGATTACGATGTACAACATTAGTAAAATGAAGTATAATATTAAACCACCATTAGTCATATAGTGTGCATTTGGTCCAATTTCAGGTCTGTGACAGAAATTGGCAAATCAATCTGGTCCAATCTCAGGTTTGGAGATAGGCCCCTGCAAGTTCATCCAGTTCAGTAAATAACATTATGGAATTTATAGTATGCCTGTATTGTGCAAGGATAACCATTCAATCATTTAGTGTTCAATCTTTTTTAAAATCTGACTTGGTCCGTGAGCGAAAAGTCTTGCCAACAGGCTTCACGGAGCGCGGCCAAAGACAAACTCATAAATGCCATTCATAAATAATACTTGCATAAATAATAGAGAAGAAGGTAAACCTGCGCCAAGTGGAACAGTGAGAGAATGAGGAAGGGAAGAAAAAGTGTTGAGGGACAAAGACAGATTTATAGAGAACTCAATTGGAAAGTAGCACAGATCACTTGTGAACTACTCTGTATTGCCAACTGATAAAGTGGACTGTAAATGCTTAGGCCATAACTTTCCCTCTTTAATCTCACTGGACAGCAGCCTGACATAGGTGGAGGTGTGGACTGGGGCGATTATAAAGGTGTTTATTCAGGTGTTTATTTAGGCACCGAGCATGGGCCGGTAACCAGGCTTTACGATGTGGCATCACCGCATGATTGGCAGCTCCAAAGTCCTGGGTAATTGGACAACCCCCCCCAAAACTGGCACTGTATACAGGGCTTTGCAATAGACAGACAGGCCACATGGTTAATAGGTCCTGGGTGTTTTCCCCACATTATAAAATATCTGAAGGATGTTTGGGGTTTGGGGAAGGAGACCAGGATGTGATAATAAAAACGGCCTCAAAGAGATTTTAAAGTGAGGCATTTGCATAAACACACATAACATCCCAGGCAAAGGATGAAAATAAATAAATTCTCATCTAACTAACTAAAATATTTCAATAAAAGGGACATTGTGTTTTTCGACACAACATCTAATGCTACGTAAATGTTTTGGCTTCAATCAGACCATTTTACTTGACTCCAACTAGCTAGACCACACAAGCAAATAAGTTAAACTTTGATCTGTCAAGGCCATGTTTACAGGAATAGAAGTTTAAGTGACAATGGCAAGGGAAAAAAGCAAACTACATATTTAAAAAGACATTTACTTGAACACAAAAAATCTTAGTATAGTATATTATTGGAGTATATAAGAGTATATTAAAAGTGCTTTTGGGTTAGGCTACTTTGCTTTGAGTACAGATTTCAAGAATTTGTTCCACCTTTTGAACCCAGGCAAAGACCAAAACTCATATTATAGAGCCCAGGCTTTCAGCCCCAGCCAGTTAATTAGGACCACAGAACTGTGGCTAGAGCCTGGCTCCAACAGCCAGTTTGTGACAGCCTGTGCAATTAGCAACACACACTCTGCCTCTTGTAAACACAAATACACACACCCTTTCTTCACCGCAAAATCCAAAAGGCTCACCCAGCACACTCCTCATCACTGCTGAAGGCTGTGTAGGCGACATCTGAAGTGGTTTCTGGGTAAATACATGGGCTGACAGAAAAAGAAGTTGCTTTTTATATTGCTATGGTCCTGTCCATTTCAAAGCCTTCTGACAACACAAAAACACATTTAGGTGATAAAAGATGATTTTAAGCAAAAACATTGGGTCCCAGTGAAGTTAGCCAAGAGGATGCACATATCCACAACTTCCATTACTCAAAGCTGGCAATTGACAGAGTAAGCCTTTTAAGCTTGGAATGACTCTGCCTCATTTCAAATGAATTTTGCGAGTAATACATGCAAATTCAATACATTTGCTCGAAAACAGATGCAGGACAATACACAACTAATTTTGAGAAATGTTGCTAGACATTTGCATCTGGCCTCACTGGGAATTTTAGCCAGCAATCAGTGCCAACACAATGTAAACCAGAATCCATCTTTTGGTTTACAATAGAAACAAACATGAGACTTGGAAGCCTTCTCTGTGCCTATTGTGCCAAAGCAATCATTTTAGAGTATAGTCCTAACAATATGCGTGCTTGTACTAACTCTGAGCATGCAATCGACCGAAGCAAGACAGAGTCCTTCTGAAATCAGGCCAGTCATTTCAGATAGTGTTTGGACGGGCAAGGCTGTTTGACATTTCACGGTCATTTTGAGTCCATATTATAATGTTAAACCTGCCTCAAATTAGAAATTAAATGTGCCCTATCAAGAATAAGTACTGAAGCCTTTCTGTTATTGAAGATTAGGCATGAAAATTAAAACTGTATAACTTCATTTTACTTAATAGTTGAAGAGATCAAATAAAATCTACTATTTATAGGAAATGGCATGCTTGTACAGTAGAGGGGAACAACCATGAAGATCAGATTTTTAAAAAAAGGCAAACAAAAACTTAGTGGAAGCCAACTTTTCACATCATGTAACAGCTTTCAAAGTGCCAATCAATGAGTAAAAATAACAAATTGAAATCTAAATATCAAAACGTATCCACTAAACTTATTAAAACAGGAATACTGGGCAACTGCCTTCAATCCGGGCTACTGTTGCAACTTTTGAGTACCATCACTACAGGGATTATAGTCTCAGAAGTATGTATTAGTAGTATCAAAACCCAAAGTTATTTTGAAATACTCATACTTGAAAATGACTTAAAAAAGTACTTGATGCAGATTTTGAGATCTAATAAAGCTTCAAATGTAGTGATTTTGATAACGATTTGTGCTGAATTTTGTTCACCAGAAACAATTGTATTGATCTTTTTTCCAGCTGTCTTTCTTTGCTCCGGCTATGAATGTGTTCAAAATAACAGCCTTTTCAGCAGGTCTCAGACTATCATAAAAATACTTTTACTTTTCAACCCTGTTGAAAAGTGTAGTGGAGTAGAAAGTACAGATACCTCCTCTCAAATGCAGTGAAGTAAAAGTAAAAAGTATCCACTTTCAAAAGTACTCAATTAAAGTACATCTACCTAAAATATATACTTTTACTTTATGTTTCGCCACTGGTAATATTATAGAAACTACATCATTGTGTGTAAAAAATTGCATTTTTTCATCTAAAAATGTATAATTATGTTCATCTTTTTGTACTACCATAATATAACATAACATATAACAATATAACATAATATTATCTAAACTATTATTGAGTACTAAGCCAAGTTCGACTTTTCAGTAACATAAGACTGCACAGTTGCAACAATGTTGAACACTCATTCTTTGTTTTTTTCCATTGTACATTTCTTACTTAGTACCATTTTTATTCATAGCCCTCTTTGCATTCCATGACCTCTTGACGCTTCCATCTAAACATGCCTCCTCGGACCATTACATTCCCTTATATTCCTATCCTCCACTCATCCCATAGATCATCTCCTCCCTGTGTCCAGTAGAGTTACAGACACGGACTAACACTGCGTCTGTGTAAACTACAGCTCTTTCTCTCCCCTGTCTCTGCCTGCATGGCGCGGCTCGTCTCGTGTGGTCCAGTGTCTATAAATCGCAGAATGATGTCAGCAAATAGGGACGCTGAGTCATAACAAAGCATGCACTTTAATCAGGCATACCTTTGACCAACTTCCTGTAACACCCCCTTTTCCCAGAGTGAGACGTACCTTTTCTGATAGGGCCTCCTCCAGTGTGGCCAAGGCTGTGTCGGTGTTACTCGAGTCAGTTTGAAGGCCTTGGACTCTTTCCCTTAACCCAGCCAGCTGTTTGTCTTTATCCCTCAATTGTTCCAACAGGTTTTCGATCTAGAAAGCAAGACAGAAACAAAACAAGTGGAGAGGTGGGTTATTGTACGTACAACATAAAATAGAAGCTGAATGTTGACAATGTGATTCATGTGAGTTGTTTAAAGGTAACAAGATTTTTTTGTTTTTCAATTTGATAGACCCTTCATTCATCATTGGTAGAGATTGGTCAATATTTGCCCTTTTTAGCATATCAGCTATCGGCCTTACATCTCCAGCATAGACTAATATTTTGTTCGGCTCAACCAACAGCCTAATATGCAGGACAAATATCTGCATAAAGGTTTGTTTGAACACTTTAGACCAAAGAGGGCACTGCAAAAATGTGACTCCACTAGACTCACACAATTTAGTAAAAGTTGTATTTTCAAAATTTAAATTTGATAATTTTGGGGAAAATTATCTCTAGTATTTGACAACATTGTATGTAACTTGTGTCTGTCAGTCTGCTAGTAACATTGGCCAGTGTCTTCACCCAATTATCTCCATAGAGATAGATATATTGTGCAGTGTTTCCCATGAATTCTGCAGAATATGGTGGCCCCCGCATTAGTCTAAAATAAACAGGACTTTTAATTAGCATAACATGATTAGACTTCGCTGCTCATTGTATTATCATAAATTTAGAAAAGAAATAACACTGGTCATAAATTACTGCTTAAAGATTAAGTATAGGCAAAGTGACATTTATTCTCCACAAATTAAATGAGATTAAATTATCTGAATAAAGATAATTTGTATCACCATATTCTTATCAATATTTATGGGAAACACTGTGTAACAATCCAGGTAAAGTAATGTCATCTCCACAGGAAACAAAAAATCAGGCAGAAAAGTTACATAGTGCTCCTTTAAGAAATATAAATGTACATCAAATATCTATTTTATTGTAGGAATAGACTGCTTTATTGTTGGATCAACGTCTTAAAACAGATTTGATGATGCATCTGTAAAATGGATCAGCCTGATGTTGAGCTGACCTCAACAACTTTTTGAGTGTTGCAATAAAATGCAAGATGGCCTTATAATTATGATGGACATTTTTAAGTTTTTTAAGTTGGGTATTTTAAACAATACCAAGTGGAAAGTCTGGATGATTGATAAATGTCAAATACATATTACGAATTATGGATCACACAATGAAAGTATGGGAAAATTGCAAGACCGTCAAATAATTTCTTTTAGATGCAAATAAAGGGGCAGACTAATATACTAGTATGATATTTTTCTTCATATTTCTTCTTTCTAATCAGGTAAATGTACAAGTGCATTATGTGTTGTTATTCATTGTACTACTGTGTATTTTTCATGAGAAGAACAAATAAAATTTTAAGAAATGAAAATATCAATCATGTAAATAAAATATTAAATTTGAAAATCATGGAACTTGCCCTATTTTGTCCAGGATTTTGTCTACATTTTTGTATTTTAGAAAATTTGGGTAAATTGTTAGTTAAAAAACAAGTGTAAATCTTTCTGTGGCTAGCCTAGTGTTGCAATTGTGGTGGTAGAGTTCAGTTCACATAGCTTTATCAGATGGACACACACTAAGCCCTGTACACAACACACTGCAAGCTTCACCAGACAAAACACTAGCAGATGCAGCTGAGGTGGGACAGTGTGCCAAAGACGTCCCCCAGGCCTCTGACTGCATTTCAAAGCATGAGAACATCTGGAGGCTTGACACTTGCTTGTGGCATATCAACAATTTGAACACAATCATTTTAGTGTAGCGATAATTCTTTTCTCTGGTTGGAAAAGTAGGTCAGTTTTAAAGTAAATGCTCGACTTGTGTATGTTTCCATTTTCATTTTTGACTTCTTTTTTTAAGGACAGACAAAGCGCCATTCATGACTTCTGCAAAGCATTAATACCACATTTGACCCAAAGTGGAGTTTTTTCAAGATCAGGGCATATGTTGTACAAAGCAAGACACACAACCACTGAAAGAATCCATTATTTTGTGAACATGAGAATCCAATAATGGCAAACTAGCAAGCACTTTGGGTCATCAAAAAACCAAAGTGTAATTGAAAGTGTGACGGGGTAAAAATGCCCATTGGGGGAACGGGCCACATACCAGTCATGGGTACGCAGATAGATAATGTCCAAATCTCTACAAATGAATCCAATTAGACTGCAGACTTTGGTGTTCGCTGGTCTCTGGAGTGCACAAGTGAGGATTTAATGGGGCCATCTTGGTTTTGGCAAAGGCGGGTAAGTGGCAGGGGGGTGGGAAAGGCCCATGAATGCTCTTGGGCAGATCTTGATAGGTTAATAGCAGTCATTACTGAACCAGCTATAGGCTCTGGTGGGTCAGTCCACAGACGATAGGAACACTCAGCCTTTCGGGAATGACGGGAAGGCTTCACACTATCAAAGTCTGATAAAACTCCAGGCAATTTATGGTTTCCGTGGGTGTGTTTGGTACTAACTCCAGAGCCTGAGAAATCTGCTGTTGGACCACGTCATATTGATTTGTCTGAATATTTTTCTTCTGATGCCAGGTCATTTTTTAATCAAACTTTTATGGTGGCTATTTAAGTGCAAGAAACAACACATTACGTAATCTAGCACTAACAATAGCAAGGAGTGGGATAACATTCTTATCTCTGCTGTGGTAAAGCAGTACAAACAAGATCAATATCTAGCTTCAGCCTTGAGCTGTGTCGTCTATGTTTGAGATACTCTAACATACACAGAGTTTTAAGTTCTTCATAAACACCAATGGGCTTTATTTCAGTTCAAATTGAGCATGTGGGCTCTGGTCTTCGATAAAAGATGACATTCTTTACAAGCCTAAGTTTGCTTTGGCCTTGCTGTGCAAAATGCAACCGCCTCTCATTGTGAAAATGACCCTGTAACACGGTTTTAAGTGAAATTGTGCAGAAAAACATTAAGCGTTGCTTAAATCATATAGGAGCTGATGGGAACATGTGACATGAGTCAAGGATATGGGAAAGAGGCAGAGGAATTCTTTCATAACTTTGGAAGCCTAAACATAGACTGAAGAGAAATGTCTTTTGTGGACGGTGGAGGTGCAGGATAGCCACATGCCTTTTTGGGAGCACAGGGGCCTCTACCATTCCAGTAGCATAGATGTTATGATGAGAACAGCAGCCAGTCATTTTATCTCTCACTCTGTGGGGCTAAATTAAACTGCACTCCTGCATCCCAGAGACGACATATACAGCCACAGGCCTTTATCATTAAACTATAGTACACATATGTCGTCCCACTATGAACACTTCCTCTCAAACAAGACCACCTACTACAGGGAACTTCTGTGTCTGTCCCAGTCAATCTGAGACTCAGCATGCGCTCTAAAGAAACCATGACACTCGTCTTAGTCACGTCCAGCGCACAACACATTACACGCCCCATGCTTTACTGCTTTACTGTTCAGATTATGAGAAGTACTTCACCACTGAATGATGTTGATGACTCAGTTACCTTCAGATGACCTTAAAATTGACACCTGAAGTAGGGCTGGTTGATATAAAAATAAAACTATTACTATCACATTTTTGAGTAATTGTAATTTACATTATTTGAATTTATGTATCAGTGACAATAGTGTATAGGGGATTTTATCAAGAAGGGATGAAATATTAATACTTTATTTAACCCAAAGGAAATTCATTTGGTTTTTGAAAATATTACTATACTAAGCGTAAACTACAAGCCTCCTCTGTTTTCACAAATTACCTCCTCATATTTAATGTGATTATCAGTCATGTTTTGTGATTCTTATTTTAAAAGCCATTACATGAGCTTCAGATTTTTCAGTGCATTCATGAATACAAACTTAGAAACTCTACCACCTATACACTAGTTCAAGAACCTCTGGTTTAAACTGTAATTGGTTCAGCTTTTAACTAATGAATAACGAATCACACTATTTTGTTTTGGTAGTCACTTTCTGATTCATGTAAAACAAATAGCTGTCAAAGCCACAATTTCCACTTCTTGCTCAATCAGCCTTATTGTCCTGTGGGAGACTTGTTGATTCCCTGCGGTTGTAACCAAACCTTTTCAGACCATTAGAACAAGTTGAGCACTAATCTAATGGGAAACAACTAAAGTATATTAGACTATGTTACTTTGAAAAAAAAAAAACTTGATCTAAAAACAGCTTGGTCTGGGGCACTACCACAAACCTCTCTTTACTCCAAAGTCAAATGCTGAGCCACCAAAAGGAAGTTGCACACAAAAGACACCCGTGCGGAGCTCGGGCCGCTGTAAAAATAAAATCATTTGTATTTTTAAAACTCTTGTGGACCAATAAAAATACCAAACAATAATGGAACAGGCTTTTCTAAAATGATTCCTGTTGCAGCACGCTTGTCATCGCCTTCTGAAAATATGACAGGGACTGTTGTAAAACCCAAAGACCCTGGTACCAAGATGTCAAACAAACATATATGCGAAAAGGGAAAATAACCACAAACTGAACAATAAGTAGTAACTGTCAATATTCCTCCTACACAGATCTAGGCCACTGTCAGAAACACAGAAAAGACTACAATTTGTCATCCAAATACAACACTTGAGACTTTTATGGGATTTCAGTCTGTTTTCACTGAATTCGGGGCATGTTGTTCCCATTTGTACAAAGTTTTATTTTATTCCCACAATAATTTACAGGATTATTGAAGAGATTTGTTCAAGATGGGTAAGAATAAAAAATAAATAAACACATTTTCAAATAGAAAGTTTGAATCTAGGCCAAAGAGGGCATTAGTAGGTGTTAAGGTCATCAAAAGTACCACAAGTCTAAGTCTAATTTATGATAAAACTAGTATTGAAACTCATTTGAGCGAGTATCACTTTTCCTGAACAGTTTTAGAATGATTTTGAGCTTTATCAAAACAAGTATAAGGCCACATGGCAACATTTTGTCTATAGCATTTTTTTTCCTATTATTGTGATATCAAGATCTGTATCAGATATCAAGCCTATCCGCTAGTATCAAAATCAAGTTTGAAATGTTAGTACTA